CAAGCACAAGGACCCGAGTTCGATCCCTGATACCAAAAAAAAAAAAAAAAAAAAAACTAGGATTAGGGGTCCCACATGACCCAGCTATTCCTCTGCTGGGTATCTTCCCAAAAGAACTAAAAGCACCATACCACAGTAATATACACATACCCATGTTTATAGCAGCACATTGTAATAGCTAAATCTTGGAAACAACTCAAATGCCCATCAACTGATGAATGAATTAAAAAGATTTTTTATATAATGGAATACTACTCAACCATAAAGAAGGATAAACTCAAGACATTTCTAGGTAAATGGATGCATCTTGAGACCATCCTCTTAAGTGAAATAAATCAGACACATGTGTGTAAATATCACATTGTCTCTCTGATGTGAGAAACTGAAAATGTAAATAAAGACCAAAATGTACAATAGATAGTATAAAATAGGAAAAAATTGTTCAAAATAATTCCAAGCGTCAGATACTTTGTTAATAAGGCTTTTTATGCAAAAAAGTATCATTTTCTTAGGAGATGAGTTGAGAGATAGATTAGCAATTGAAAATATATTCTTTTAAAATTATGATATACCGTGTATTTAGCATTGTTATTCTCTATTTTGTTATGAAATTGTATTTCTTCATAGAAGTGCTTTTATATTTTCTCTATTAATATGTACTGGTATTACATTAAAATTAAAAATTAAAAAGTAGGTCTTAACGCAGAGAGTTCTTCTTAACCTCAATCCTTTGTTTCTGCCCCTGTCAGTTCTGTATCAGCACAGCGCTCTCTGCCCTTACTCTGCCGTAAATCCCATGATGCCTCCATTTAAAAGTGAGTTCAAGTGGTGTTTTCAAAGACTTTTAGGAACTTCAAATGAATTACATCCATGAATTCATCCAAAATATATTTAAATGGAGATATTTCATCTCTTCAAACATGGAACTTATAATTGGCAACATAAACATCATAGTATTTCATGGCATCACAGTGTTGATGAAAGAACAAAACTCTGTCACCCAGAGTTGTTTTGTTTTGTGGTATACTGGGGGTTGAGCTACACTCTCATCCTTTTTTTTTTTAGACAAGTTCTTACTGAGTCACTAAATTGCCCAGTCTGGGCTCACAATTGCAATCTTCCTGCCTCAGCCTCCAAGAGTTCTAGGATTACAACCATGTGATACCATGCCTGGCAGTCACCTAGAGTTATTAATCAATGATCCATAAGGACAATGACAAAGGTAGCTGGCCCACTTATTTTGTAACTCTGTGGCTTGAATACAGGGTTTTGTATTTTAGATGAAGACAGTTGACAAATTCAATCTGAGTACAGCACCCTATAGGAGGAATATTTGCAATGAGAAATTGTTTAATTCCTTCTTAATTTCTATCACTGCAATAATTACAAGCTGTAAAAACATGTTTGTTTATGATCTTGGATTTCTGTAGATGACAATAGAAGCTAATTTTTATCTAAAAGACATCCCGTCATAGAATGTTCTTCTTTATAATCATCTAAATCCAAGTTTTTTCCTTTGGGAATTTTATAATAGATGTTCTGTGTCTATTTGGCTTTTTCTTTTTAAATTTAGGAGATTAGTTTATTTCCTTTCTGGTCTTGATTTGTTTTGTTGTGTGGTGATTTGCTATTAATATTTAAACATATTCTTAGAGGCTACCCCAAATGAGTAATATGTTTTACAAAACAAATTACTCCTTAGGCATTTATTGCATAAAAAAAAAGTACCAATTACATAAATTATCTGGAATAATGTAAAATATCTGAATTTTCAGCCATTTAGTAAATAGCAACACTTCTCTCCTTAGTCTTAATAGTTTCAGTGATTCTCAATCTCCTTTGTGCCCTTAAAATTAAAAAAGACCCCCCAAAAAACTCTTTATGTGAGTTGTCTGTTTATATTTACTCTTTTAGAAGTTAAAAGAGACATTTTAAGATATGTATGTACAATATTTGTTCATTAGAAACAGTAATAAACAATAAACACAATGTATATCAACATAAATAGCACTTTATGAAAAATAATCTTCTACTCAGAACAAAGAAATTTTAATGAAAAGAGTGACATTTACATTTTGCAAAACTCTTGTCTGGCTTTATAGAAGACAGCTGGATTCTAATAGCTGCTTCTGCATCCAAACTGTTTAATTGTGTTATTTTGATTGAAGTTTATGAAAAAAAATCAGCCTCACTCAGTTGTAGTTAGGAAAAAAAAAGAATCATAGTTTAATAGTTTTGCAAATAATTGTAGATATTCTTCTTTGATATTAAAGCAAAACTCAACAAGTAATAATTTCTCATAGGTTAGTTGCAAGCATGGAATCGGAAAATGTATCAATGAATTTTTGTGCTCTACTACATTAAAAACTACTGATACATCTTCATTTTGTGCATATCTTTTAGCCAGCCAAAATTTTGTAACTTTTAGAATATGATGATTCCCTGAGTTGCGCAGATTTTCCAAATGTTGTCATTATTCCACTACACAAAATCAGTGGGTCGTGTTTCTCATCAGAAAAACCTGTAGATATTAGGAAATGGTCAAGTTTATAGGAGCACATAAAAGATTTCTGATATTCTAATTTTTGCTTGAACATACCAATATTATCATTGACGATGAGTGCTACCTGTTGTTTTCCTTGAAGTGGCAGGCTTACTTCATCCACTCTTTAGAAAACATCTGCTAAATCCCCAAGTCAGAACAACAGCTCGTGTATCAGTCATTCTTTAAAAAAAAAAAACGGTGTTCCATGAGAACAGTGAGAAAGGCCCCTAGCTCAGGCTATAACTCAAACAATTCCACAAATGCTTTTTCCAGAGGTCACTGTAATATCTCAGAATGCAGGGAAGTGCTATGTGTACACTTTCCTTTCTGTTACACAGGATATTAAGGAGACTTAAGGGTATATAGTGAACAAAGCTAATAATTCATCAATAACACTGTTAAGTGAAACTGATTTTTTACCTGCAATGCATGTCTGAGGAATGCATGACTACTGAAATGGTTTGGGGCTTGGTTTCAGGTGTGGGTGGGCCTTGTTGAGCAGATGGTTGGGGGGCACCATCTGGTTCCTGTTGGGGAACATGGTTTAGGGTGTAGTTTGGTGCATGGTTGGGTCTTGGCTGGGCACATGGTTTAGGGCATAGTCCAGTGCATGGTTGGGGCACTGTTGGGAAAAGTTTAGTGCCACTGTTTTCTGGTTTTTGAGTTTGAGGACTGCGGGGGGGCATTGTTTTGATTTATTCTGAGGCACCAACACTTTATCTCCCATTGCATCCATAGTATTAATGCAAATATCAACACAGTGACAACAGTAAATAAAGATAATATTGTTATAAAAATAGTTTTCCCCTCACAGACTCTCCGGACAGTTCTCCGGGCCTGCAGATCTGTGGACTAGACTCTAAGAACTGCTACTCAACAGTGTAACACCAAATTCTGAAGCTGAGGTGTGAAACATACTAAAACTTCAGCAAAATGGCCTGATGAAGGAAGATAAGAGAAGGGGAGACTGAACCAAGCAAGTTAAAGAGGACAAAATAGCACACACAAGCACTCCTTCAGCAAAACAAATTCTATTTTCAAGTGAAATCAGAAGCCAGTTGATAGTACACATGGCGGTGCTGGCATGTGAAATAGGCATCTGTTGATTTTAGAAAGAATCACAGCCACTGGTGAAGGTATAGAGATAAGATGTTATCTCCCAGTAGAACCATCTGGGAGATACGAGGTCTCCAGTTGGACAGGTTGGTAAGGGCACATTACAGGGCACATTCCCAGCAGCCTATTGTGCACAAGTAATGTACTACTCAGTGAGCAGAAGCAGTTGCCTAGCAATTATGGATGGAACCAACTGGGGAGGGACATTAGTCTGAGGGAAGAGAAAAAAGATTAAAACTTGAATTCAATAGTATAAAAGTTCCAAAGATATATGACCATGATCAAGCAAATCAGGACCTTAGGATATAGGAGTAAGGTTAATACTAGAACATACCAGCTGCCATCTGAGACCAATCCTCAACTTCATTCCTTCATGATCATTGGTCTGGAAGCTAGGAATGGGAGTGTTTGCAGATACAAAGTTTAATGACTTTATTCCATCAAGAAGGCCAAGATAAACTTGCTTCTTAAACCAATGAAAGGAAATGTATTCTAATGTTCTTAACAATCTGACAAAAAGGTATAATTACTAGAATGGGGAGATATATAAAGCAATCTTTCAAAAGGAGGGACTATCACTGCCAAAAAGCCAAGTAGGCAGGCTTCTGCCCTCTCCGATTCAATCAAAGTTTCACTTTTCATTTGATATCATATAATAAACTTCTGGATAAGAATTCAATTGTACTAACAGTCATATATATCTATGTAATGTATTGTAAATATTAATGTATTATCTTATAAATGCAAAATACTAAATATGTTATTTATATTATATAATCATTATTTAATAGTAAATATACTTTTATTTTATTATATAATTATATGTCAAATATAACCTTATATGACATATAAGATTATATTTAATATTATGTAAATATTATATAATTTTTAACACCCATAGCATCAAATTAAACATTATTTCTTCCTGAATGTACAAAAATCTATTCTCGAGTACAGGGACAGCAGCTATATAGAGTCAAGGCTTATTAACTAATACAAGGACTGAAATTATAAAAATAAGAGCAGAAATAAATGAGACTGGGACCAACAAATCATTGAATCAAAGAGTTAGTTCTTTGAAAGAATAAACAAAATAGCCAAACTCTTAGTCAATCTTACCAAAATAAAGACACAAATCCATGCAATTAGAAATGAAAAGGTGAAATCACAACAGAGTATTTCAAAATCCAGATCATTGATAACTATCTTGAGAACCTGTACTCTAATAAAATGGAAAATTCAGAAGAAATGGATAAATTTCTAGATACATATAAATTACTAAAGGTGAACCAAGAAGATATAAAAATCTTGAAAAAAATCTTTAATAGTCCAATATTAGTCAATGAAATTTAAGAAGTAATAAAAAAAAAAACCTACCAACTAAGAAAAACTCAAGTCACAACAGATTCACTACTGAGCTCTACAAGAACTTTAGAGAAGATCTAACAGAAATACTCCTCAAACTCTTCACTGAAATTGAAAGGGATGCGGTACGCTCAAAGTCATTCCTGGAAGCATTACCCTGATTCTAAAACTAGAAAAGGATCCAAACACAAAAGAGAATTATAGACAAATCTCTTTAATGAATATAGATGCAAAAATTTTCATCAAATACTGACAAACAGAGTGCAATAAATCCTCAAAAATATTGCACATCATGACCAAGCAGTCTTCATCTCAGGGAGGCGAAGATGGTTCAACATATGCTCTTTCAGATAATGCTTACTAGAGAAACAGTTTGAATGCAAGATATACAAATATATAAGAATTTACAAGATTTGCTTACAGTGGGCACCTGGAGAATCAGGTGTGGAAGAGGGCAAAAGGGCAGTCTGTGCAATGGAGATCCTGGAGCTCATGTAGTGTCCCATGCAATTTTGTATCAGGAGGTTGAAGGTTCTGTGCTAGAGGCTGAAGAGTCTGTGCCGGAAGGAAGCTGGGAGATGACATCCAAGGTAAAGGTGAAGATCGGATCTGTTTTCTGAAGAAACAGAAGCAAGGCTTCCTTCTTTGTTCCCCTTTTATTCCTTTCAGGTGACAGGCCAGTTGGTTGGTGCCACTCACACCCAGGCTGGGTCTTCTGTCTTCAGTGAATCCTCTCAGGCACACCCAGAACTATGCTTACCCAGTTTAGTTGGATGTTTCTTACTCAAGTTGACACACTCAGTTAATTATTACATAGCAAAATCAATATATGTGACACAACACATAAACGGAAGAACAAAAATCACATGACTGTCTCAATTGATGTAGAAAAAAGCATTTGGCAAAATCCTACATCCACTCATGATACCTAAAGAAAATAGGTAGAGAAAGTCTTTATCTCAATCCAATAACAGCCATCTATGACAAACCAATGGCCGACATCATACTAAATGGAGAGAAATGGAAAGCTTTCCCTCTAAAATCAAGAAAAGACAGGTGTTTGCTATCACCATGCCTATTCTACATAGTTTTTGAAACATTAGCTGAGCAATTAGGCAAGAACGAAAAATAAAAAGGATATGGATAAGAAAGAAAGAAGTCAAATTATCATTGCAGATGACATAATCCTCTACATAGAAGACCCCAAAAACTCCATCAAGAGACTTCTAGAATAACTAATTTCAGTACCATAACAGGATAAAAGTCAACACTCAAAATTCAATTGTGTTCCTGTACAATAATAATAAACTCACCGAGAAAGATTAAGAAAATGATACTTTTTGTGATTGCATCAAGAAATATGAAATACTTAGGAACTAACCCAAGCAGGGAAGTGAAGCACCTCTATGATGACAATTATAGTACTCTGAAAAAGGAGATCAAAGAAGACAACAGAAAATGGACACACATCCTCTGTTCCTAGATTGGCAGAACCAATATAGTCAAAATGGCCACACTTCCAAAATTATTATTGAGATTTAAAACAATTCCAATCAAAATACCAACAGCATTCCTCACAGAACTAGAGAAAGCAATCCCAAAATTTATATGGAACCAGAAGAGACCTAGAATGGCGAAAGAAATTCTGGACAACAAGGGCACACGATGGGGCATCACAATACCAGACTTTAAGTTACACTACAAAGCCACAGTGATAAAGACAGCATGGTATTGGCAAAAAAACAGACTTATGCATCAGCGGAACAGAATAGAGGACGCAGAAACAACCCCAGGCTCATTTGGCTACCTTTTCTTTCACAAACGGGCCAAATACTTTTGCTGGAGGAAAGATAGCCTGTTTACCAAATAGTGCTTGGAAAACTGGCTATCAATATGCCAAAGATTGAACCTAGCTCCACACCTCTCACCATTCATTAATCTAAAATCAAAATGGATCAAAAATCTAAATATTAAAACAGAAACATATTATCTGCTGGAAAACAAAATAGGCAAAGCTATTTAAGACATAGGTATAGACAAAGACTTTCTGAACAGAACCCCAGTTGCACAAGAAACAATGTCAAGAATTAACAAATGGATCACATCAAATTAAAAGGCTTCTGCATAGAAAAAAAAGCTGGCAGAGAGAAAAGACAACTTATAGAATGAGGGAGAAAATTGCCAGCTACTCCTCAGACAAAAGACTGCTAGCTAGAATATATAAAGAACTCAAAAATTTTAACCCCCAAATTTAAAGACCCAATTAAAAAATGGGCATCTGAAATGAATAGACATGTCAGAGATGAAGAAGTACAAATGGCCAATATATACATGAAAAAATATTCAACATCACTGGCTATTTGAGAAATGCAAATTGAAACAACACTGAAATTCCACCTCACACTTGAAAGAACAGCTATGATCAAGAAATCAACCAATAACAAATGCTGGAGAGGCTGTGGGAAAAATGAACACTGCTACATTGTTGGTGAGAGTGTAAACCACTCGGGAAATCAGTGTGGAGATTCCTCATAAAACTAAGACTAGAAATTCCATTTGACTCAGCCCTTTCTTATCTATATATCTTCCCAAATAGTTAAAGCTATCATACCACAGTGATGAATGCATGTGTAAATACCAAATAGCTTTTCTGGTGTGAGAAACTGAAAGTGTAATAAGAAGTAAAAGGTGTAAGAGATAATGTGAAATAGGAAGAAAAGGGGCAAAGGGGAAGGGGGAGTTTGAGGGGTTGGGGAAAGGAAAGAAGGGAATGGAATTAATATGAGAAAATGAAAAAATGGAAACAAAGTCTTTGTAAATAGGGAGGGATGGAGGGGTTGAAGGGAGGGCAGGGGAATGGGAAAAAAATAAGAACCAAGAGATTATGTGCAAATTTAAAAGAAATTAGGTGCAAATTTCCAATGATGAATGTCATTATATTGTATACCTAAAATGTACCAATAAAATTAAATTTAAAATAAAAAATATATATATATTTACACACAATGGTGTACTATTCTACCATAAAGGAAGATAAACTTGTGTCATTTGTAGGAAAAGAGATGCAACTGGAAAATATAATGTTAAGTAAGATAAATCAGATAAAAGTGTAAATATCAAATGTTTTGTCTTATATGAGAAACCCAAAGTATAAGTAATCAGAAAAAGAAAAGGTAATAGGAAGTAGGCAGATAGGTCTTTCTCAAAGTGGAACAAAAAGAAGAGATGGAGGGAGGAGGGAAACAAAGAGGAAAGGAATAGTGGATGAAAGAGAAATTTTTTTAAACGGAAGAAGAAAAAAATTAAATTAGACCTTTTGCAAATGCCAAGGAGACCAAGAGTTTGAAGGAGCAGGGAGGGTTGGGAGGGCTAAGGGAAAAAATAGAATTAAGATATATTATGTACCTGCAGCAACTCTCCATGAAAAATGTACTCATTATGTATTCAAAGATATATTTAAAAAATTAAAAGATGTGTTATGTACATGTACCAACTCCACACAAGGCATGAAAACACTATGTACTCCAAACATGTACCAAGGAAAGAAAGAAAAAGAAAGAGAGAGAGAGAGAGAGAGAGAAAGAAAGAAAGAAAGAAAGAAAGAAAGAAAGAAAGAAAGAAAGAAGAAAGAGAGAGATGGATGGACGTGGGAAGGAGGGAAGAGAAAATGGATGGAGAAAAGAAATTGAGATGTGTTATGTACATGTGCCAACTTCCCACAAAGAACATAAACATTACATACCGCAAACATATGCTAATAAATTTTAAAATGCCTAGCTTTGGTAAATAAGAGAAATGGCTTCTGTCACTTTTGAGTCACTTTGGAGCATCTATATCCCCAGCACAGATGCAATGGTGACCCTGGCTAAAGAGGGATAGAAAAATCAAGATTTAAGTTCAGTCAGGATGAATTTTCTCAGAAGGGGATACAGAGGTGGTTGAATGTCTTTTAATAACTACAATTAACCTAATTTTTTAAATAAAACATTTTACAGAAGAAAAAAATTTTCTGGCTGGGCTGAAACTATTCTATGCATATTTTTAGTGAATTTTATTCTTTACAGAATTTTTATCAACATGGTATGTTTCAATGAAAAACCATTTCAAGGGTCTTGAAAAATTCACCAATGCATTGGGTAATTCAGATGCAGCATTAACTAAACTGAACTCTTGATGTGATCTTCCAAGCCCTAAATCACTGACAAATAGTCATTCCATGCATTACTTTTAAGTTCCAGTGGCCTTTGCTGTAGTTCAAATCCCTACATAGTTTAAGTCTTCATGTGCCCAGCCCTGTGCTAGATTTTTAGGGAGACTCAACTGAAGTACGTGACAGACTGTGGGATCTTAAGGAGTTTATCCTCTCTTTAGGAAATCAAAATACCCTTACCTAGGGCCGGGGATTTAGCTCAGGGGTTCCAGCACCTGTCTCGCAAGCTGAAGGTCCCAAGTTCAATCCCCAATACCAAAAAAAAAAAATACCCTTGCCTGAAATACCGAGCAAAATAAGACTATAAAATGTTAAGAAATATAATAATTATGATAAAGAGAAAGCTGTATTTTTGGTGAATCTCAAAGGAAGGATAGCATTTTGGTAAGTACGAATTGAGGAGAGGGTGTTTGTTTCTAGTTGATCCTATGTCATCAGCGTCTGAAGGTGTAACTGCAAAAGCTACATTTGGGGTCAGTTGGCTTCGCCTGTCTCAAAAGGAGTTGAGAGGAAGAGCCGGGCATGCAGCTCCGTGGCACTGTGCCTGCCCAGCAAGCACGAAGTCCTGAGTTCAACCCCCAGTACTGGAAAAGAAAAAGTAGTTCAGATGAGAAGTAAAGGGGCTGGGAAAGACATACATTAATCGTTATTTGGTGCCTATTATGACAAGGCAGTAATCATTAGCAGATATAGATGCAAATATAGATTTTTCACTTGGGGCTTGCAGCGGCCCTTTATAGTAAAATTGGTTTTGCCCCCACTTTGCAGATAGGAAACTAATTTGCCTAAAGTCATGCAACTTCTAAGTGGTGAGGTAGTCAGTATTCAAACCCAAGTCTTTCTGACTATAAAACCATCTGTGTTAGCCAGGCATGGTGGTGCATGCCTGTAATCCCAGCACTCAGGAGACTGAGGCCAGAGGCTGGCCTCGAGTTCAAGGCCAGCCTGGGCTACATAGTGAGTTTAAGGCTAGCCTGAACTAATAGAGAGACCCTGTCTCAGAAAAAAAAAGACAGTTTCATCTTTGTCACTATTCCAGGTCAGTGGGCAAGTCACAGATGCGAGAGAACAGCAACCTCATTGATGCTGCCAGAGCCCTCTTCATCCCCATGGAAACAGGTGTACTTGTTGCCACCACAGGGCACCCAGAACAGATCAGACCACCAACGTACAAGCCAGCCAGAGTCACATTCAGCCACAGATTGCGTTACAAGATGGCATAATAAAGAACCAAGTTCCAGAACTATATGAACAAATTCTATTCTTGTGTTAATGCACTTTGCAGAAGAAAAGAAAGAAAACTGAAAACCCCATAGCAGCTAGAGGCTGAAAAACATTTGGCTTAATCTCCTCACAGACTTGTCTCCTTTGCCTAACAGCTGCTGGTAATAATTGACTAGAATTTTTTGCCAAATGCAGAATCTGAATACATTGTGTCTAACTATACTATCATGTTGCTGCTTAGCAGATAAATGTAAGCTTACTTTCCATACCA